CGACCCTGTACAGGGTTTCCGAGGGTGTAAATCTTTACGGGAGTAGAAAGCCTCATCTTTCTCCCGCGGAGCAGCTGGTAGTTTCAAACCACTGACCTTAAGGTTGGCAGCCCGATTTGTAACCACTACGCTACCAGAGCTTCGATATGGTTCTAAGAATTCCTGTCATCAGAGACACATCATTTCAGTAGGAAGAATTAAAAAAAGAGAAAGAATTGGTTGTATTGATGTACTCATGCTTTCTTTGTTCTTTTCTCTGCTTCTGTTTTGTTTTTGTTTTTTCAGTGAGCATGTTTTTGAACACACTAACACCGAAGTTCTACGTGGCCCTGACCGGCACTTCCTCGCTAATATCAGGGCTTATCTTGGTAAGTGTGTACTCATTCCTATTTATCAGTGTCTGTTTAATATGTGTGCGAGGATACGTACAGGAACAATATCTAGAAGACTCTGCAGCAGCAGCTGATAATGATTCTCATAAAAGCATGCATGTGGTTGTTGGGTGAGAGGACTTATAGAGAAAGGCCTTTTACTACCCAGGTTATATATTTCTGAATGTTTGTAATTGTTTTTAAACAATCAGATATTCCTTTTATTGAATGGAAAAAATATATAAATTAAATGGATGATAAAGGAAAACACAGTCCTGCGTCAAATTCTAGTGCCTACAAAATAAATACTCTAAAATATGACTTAATTCAACTGTTGTTGTTGTTAGGTGCCATCGAGTTGGTACCGACCCATAGCGACCTTATGCACAGCAGAAGGAAACACTGCCCTATCCTGGGCCAACCTCACTATCGTTGCCACGCTTGAGTCCATTGATGCTGCCACTTGGCCTGTCCATCTCGCTGGGGGTCTTCCTCTTTTTCTCTGACCCTCCACCCTACCAAACATGATATCCTTCTCCAGCGATGGGTCCCTTTTGACAATATGTCCGAAGTATGAGAGATAAAGTTTGACCATCCTGGCCTCCAAGGAACACTCTGGCTGCACTTCTTCCAGCACAGATCTGTTGGTTCTATGGGCAGCCCACGGCACTTTCAATATTCTCCTCCAACACCATAACTCAAGTGCATCAATTCTACAGTCTTCCTTACTCATTGACCAGCTTTCGCATGCATATGAGATTATTGAAAATACTATGGCTTGGGTCAGGCTCACGTTAGTTCTCAAGCTGACGTCTTTGCTCTTCAACACTTTAAGGTCTTGTGCAGCAGATTTGCCTAATGCAATATGTCCTCTGATCTCTTGACTGCTGCTTCCATGAGTGTTGATAGTTGATCCAAGAAGAATGAAGTCCTTGACAGCATCAATCTTTTCTCTGTTGATAAAAATGCTGTTTATTGGTCCAGTGGTGAGGCTTTTTTTTTTTTTTTTTAACATTGAGATGCAATTCATACCAGAGGCTGTGCTCTTTGATCTTCATCAGTAAATGTTGTAAGTCCTCTTCACTTTCAGCAAGCAAGGTTGTATCAGCATATCACAGGTTGTTAATGAGTCTTACTCCAATCCTGATGCCATGTTTTTCTTCATAGAACCCAGCTGCTCGGATTATTTGCTCAGCATACAGGTTGAATAAGTATGGTGAAAGAATAAACCCTGTCGCACATGTTTCTTAATTTTAAAACGTTCCGTGTTCCCATGTTTATTTGTACAACTGTCTCTTGGTCCAGGTACAGATTCCTTATGAGCACAATTAAGTGTTCTGGAATACTCATACGTTGCAATGTTGTCCATAGCTTGTCATGATCCACACAATTGAAAGCCTTTGTGAGTCAATAAAGCACAGGTAAACATCTTTTTGATACTCTCTGCTTTCAGCCAAGATCCATCGGACATCAGCAGTGAAATCCCTCATTCCACATCCTTTTCAGAATCCGGTTTGAACCTCTGAAAGTTCTCTGTCAATGTATAGTTGTAGTCATCTCTGTATTACCTTTAGTAAAACTTTACTATGGGATATCAAAGATATTGTCCGATGATTTCTGCATTCCGTTGGGTCACTTCTCTTTGGTATTGGCATAAATATGGATCGCTTCCAATCAGTGGCCAGATAGTTATCTTCCAAATTTCTTGGCATAGATAAGTGAGTGCCTCCAGTGCTACATCACTTTCTTGAAAGAGTCCCATTTTTATTCCATTAATAATTACTGGTGCCTTGTTCTTTGCCAATTCCTTCAGTGCACCTTGGACTTCCTCCTTCAGGATCATAGTCATGATGAGTGGTGGTTTTATTTTACTGTTGTCATTCGGCAAAGAAAACTGTAACAACTTCATGTTGTTAAGTATTGTCGGGTCAGTTCTAATTCATAGCAACCCTGTATAGTAGGGTTTCCAAGGAGTGACTGGTGAGTTTGAACCACCAACGTTGTGGTTCAAACTGATCTTGTGGTCCAGTGCTTTATCCCATAGCATCACACCAGAAATCCAGCAACCTCATATCATTCTCCAAATTTGGTGGTGATAGTACAGGAGACATTTTCATGTAATGTTCAGTCCACAAATGTCGGAACCACTGGTCTGAGAGACCAATCTGAACCATTTACTCCACTGATCCTTAATAGGAACAACATAAATTGTCCAGAAGGAGAAATGTAAGCAAAACTCTTTGAGTCTGACTTAGAACAATCACTAGGAAGATTTTATATGATCTGAAAAGTTCACCAATCGAAGGAGTCCAGTGCAGAGGAGAATGATCTCAAAGAGACTTTGGTGGAACAAAGTTAACAGGACTCTTGAAGGCATGTGAATGAATCTCTCACTCCAAAACTATGTCGTTTGGTCAAGAAATAAGCAATATCCAGAAGAAGACAAGGAATAAGTAGAAGGTAAAGTAAAAGAAATTAATGGCAAGTCCTCATGGACTCCAGATTTTCTAGAGCCATGGAGGCTAGATGGAATGGCTATTGTACTGACATAAGCCTTAAACCAAAAATATCCCCAAAAATCTTAAAACCAAACAATAATTTGTTGTTTTTGTTAGGTACCCTCAAGTTGTCTTTGACTCATAGCGACTCTGTGAACAGCAAAGCAAAACACTGCTACATCCTTTGCCATCCTCAAAATTACCGTTATGCTTGAGCACATTTTTGCAGCAATTGAGTTAATCCATCTCACTAAGGGTCCATCTCTTTTTTGCTGACCTTCTACTCTATCTAGCATGATATCCTTTCTGATAAAATGTCTGAAGTACATGAAACGAAGTCTTGCTGCTTCCAAGGAGCATTCTGTTTGTACTTCTTTCAAAACAAATGTGTTCCTTCTTTTGATAGCCCATGGTACTTTAAATATTCTTCATCAGCATCATAATTCAAATGTATCAATTCTTCTCTGGTCTTCTTTGTTCATTGTCCAGCTTTCACTTGCATATGAGGCAATTGATAATACCATGACTTGTGTCAGGAGCATTTTAGTCCTCTGACCTCTTTGCTCCTGACACATTTTCCCACTGTGATATGCCATTTGAGTTCTTGACTGCTGCCTCCAGTGAGTTGATTGTGTATCCAAGCAAAATGAAATCCTGGACAACTTCAATATTTTTCTCCATTTATCATGATCTTTTTTTATCGGTCCAGTTGTGAGGATTGCGTTGTAATTCATACTGAAGGCTGTCTTTTTTGATATTCATCAGCAAGTGCTTCAAACCTTTTCACTTTCAGCAAGCAAGGTTGTGTCGTCTGCATATCACAGATTGTTAATGAACTCCAATCCTGAAGCCACATTCTGCTTCATGTAGTCCAGCTTCTTGGATTATTTGCTCAACATACCGCGGGAGAAAGATGAGGCTTTCTACTCCCGTAAAGATTTACACCCTCGGAAACCCTGTACAGGGTCGCTATGGGTCGGAACTGACTCGATGGCACATAACAACAACAACAACAACAACAGATTGAAAATGCATGGTTACAATAGCTTAGCTTCACTAGCACCAGACTGCTAACCACACTAACTGCAGTTCAAACACCCTAGCTGCTCTTGAAAACCTTGTTCAGGGTAGGTCTGAGCTGAAACTGACCTGACAGCATACACCACAATAAGAGATGTCTGTCTTAAGCATTATGCTCTTTTAAGAAATACCTATGGAGTCCCTGGTGTGGCGCTGTGGGTTAATGTGCCAGACTGCACAGCCATCTGAACTGCAAGGTTGGTGATTCAAACTCACCAACTGCTCCTTGGAAACCCTATACAGGGTCGCTATGGGTCGGAACCGACTAAATGGCACTTCACAACAACAACAAATATGGGATCAAAGTAACAACTACTTGAAAGATTAGATGGGAACTCTAGGGGACTGTGAGTTACATGGATGGGGAAAGAAAGTGAGAAAGAATTGTAACACAACATGAATAATGTAATCAGTACTCTGAATGATACATGTTGAAATGTTGACTTGGTTCACAACAGGGCTTCATGAAGTTTGTGGGGAAATGAAATGAAAAGATTATGGATTTTCCCACACACTTTGTTTTCAAGTCCCCTCGTCTATGTTGCTGTATATATTCTCTACAAGAAAATGATTAAATTCAAAAGAGAGAGAGAGAATAATGAGAAGGAAGGAATTGGTATCAAACACGTGATGAAGGAATCATGGATTGCTAATGTTCCCAGGCTCCATAATTATTCAGTTTATAAGGAAAATGAACCTTACTAAGGAAAGACAAAGACAGAGTTAACTTCTGGCTAAACCAAACCCAGAAACTTTGTCTTTAGATTCTCACTTTAATATTATTAAAAGAACAGAAGAAACTCCAGATTTGGAAAATGCATTCACATGCTTGATAAATTCATAATAATTATGTGGCGAAAATATTCAACCAATTAACATATATGAGCATATATTTTGAAGAGATAAGGGAGATAGAATGATAAAATGTAAATTATCATTTACATTTTAAACAGTATTTTGACATTTTCTTTATAAAATGTGGAAATTTTTTTTTAATTGAACAAGTAGAAACATTGAAAAGGTGAGCTATTTTGGATGCAATTTGAATAGCAGTTTTGAATTGTTGTTGTTGTCGCGTGCCTTAGAGTCGGTTCTAACACGTACCAGTACTGTATAGCGTTTTCAAGGAGTGGCTGGTGGGGTTTGAGCCACCGACCTTGTGGTTAGCAGTACAGTGCTTATCCTACAGCACTACACCAGGACTCTGGTTTTGAATTGTTGTTGTTTTAAGTGCCATTGAGTCTGTTCCAACTCATAGTCACCCTGTATAGGGTTTCCAAGGAGTGGCTAGTGAATTTGAACCGCAGATCTTGTGGTCTAGTGCTTTATCCCACAGCCCCACAGAATGGTGGTGATGTGCCACCACATTTATCAGTTCTGACTCATACCAACCCTGTACAGGGTTTCCGAGGCTGTAAA